TGATGAGGTCTCGCCAAGTTGCCCAGGCGGGTCTCAAACCTGCGGGCTCAGGCAATTCACTCATCTCAGCCTCCCAAGGCACAGGATTATAGACTGAGCCACCAAGCCTCGCTAAGTTTTTGATTTATTGTAGAAATGAGGTATTGCCAAGTTGCCCAGGCTGGTCTTGAACCCCTGGGCTCAGGCAATCCTCTCACCTCAACCTCCCAAAGTGCTGGGATTACAGGTGTCAGCCAAGTGCTCGGCCTAATTTTTTGATTTATTATAGAGACAAGGTCTCACCATGTTGCCCAGACTGGTCTCGAATCCGCAGCTCAGGCAATCCTCTGGCCCTGGCCTCCCAAAGTGCTGGGATTACAGGCCTGAACCACTGTGGCTGGCCCAGGTTCACATTTTCAAAGCTCTTCCTCTTCAGTAACCAGATGACCGCCTCCTACAACACAAACCTTTGCTTCTCTTCAGCATTCACTCACCATGTTTCTTTTTCAGTCCTGGTCTAGTGTGACAGAGTTTCTCAGTTTGACAAGGACAGTCTTTTGTCTTTTAGAAATTATTCCCTTGAATGTGGGAGAACTTACTATACTAGCTCTTAATCAACCAACTCCAAATCTATCTCATTTTTCTATTTTGCTTGCTAAACTCTTTCCTCACAATGGCACCCATCTACCCTTTTAAGTGATGGTATAAGCTGACATGAGGAGTGGAAGCTCAGGAAGCCATTCGTATATAAGGGGTAGGCATCCTCAAAAAATCCAAAGACTAACTGATGAAAATCATCTTCCATTAACTCCTGACCATCCCCAAGTCCTCAAGGAGTCATTCCAAAAGCTGCCCTGCACCTCAGTCAGGTCAAGGCCACAGTACTGACTCCATGGCAGAAAAAGGAAATCAGTTCTAAAAACAGCTAAAATGATTTCCCAACTGGTATCTAGCTGCCAGGCTGTAGTTTGCTTAGGGCAATGAACTAGAGAGTAAAAAAAAAAAAAACTATACCCACAAGGCACAATGGTAAGGACCCAAACATAAAGATTAAATCATCTGAAACCTTCAGTTACACATGTCACTTGAGACAAATTCTATATCATCTTACCAATACTTTCTATTCATTCCTTTAGAATGCCCCAGCCCTCTGTTTTACAAAAACACAAGCACACTACACCTTCCAGTCAATTCTGTCACAAACTTCCATACTGTTTTAAATTAAGTAGTAAAACTTTCCCCCCACAATTAGAAAAATAAAGGTCATTGGGAAGAGAAACTGTCTATTCAATATCCATCACCTCATCCCAAGAGCCTGATGGGATGCTAAGCATGCAGCAGTGTAAATCACCAGGAACATGCCTTATAGCTCATTTCCTTACCTTCATTCTATCCCGATTCCAAAACACAACAATTCTAATGAAACAAACCAACGAAAAAAAGCACAACTCCTATGCTAAAACTACCTCTTCCTGCCCCACACCCCACTTTGCATTTCTTTCTTGTCTGACATAAGTTTACTCATCCTTGTCTGACATAAGTTTACTTATTTAATTTATTGTCTCTCTGCACTAGAGTACAAGCTCCATGAGGGCAGTGATTTCAACAGTGTTCCTCTCGGCCATAGTCCCAAAACCCCACAACAGTACTTGGCACCAATTTAAGCATTAGATAGATACGTATTAGTTTAATAAATGAACAGCAAAAAAAGTCATTCCAGAGAAAAACTGTAAAACCTACTTTTTTTTCGGGGGGTGGTGGTGAACAGGGTCTCATGCTATCACCCAGGCACAAGCACAGCTCACCACACCTTAACCTTCTGGGCTCAGGACCTGGGACTATAGGTGTGCACCACCATGCCCAGAAAATTTTTTGTAGAGACAGGGTCTTGCTATGTTGCCCAAGCTGGTCTCAAATCCCTGGGTTCAAGTGATCCTCGCACTTCGGCCTCCCAAAGTGCTGGGATTACTAGTGTAAGCCACTGCGCCTGGCCTAAAACCTACATTCTTTATACATAAATGACTTCCTAAAAGGGTGTGATCAAATCATTTTGGAGTTTTTCCCTTTGAATCTAAATCTACCCTTGAAGTATTAAAGAATATAGTGGTGACAGTTGTACAACACTGTGAATATACTACAATCCACTGAATTCTCCACTTTAAAAAAGTGAATGTTCCAGCACAGGCAACTTAGCAAGAACGCATCTCAACAACAAATTTTTTTAAAAAGGTAGCCAGGCATAGTAGCACATGCCTGTAGTTCTGGTTACTTGGAAGGCTGAAGCAGACGGATCACTAGGACCCAACAGGTCGACACTGGGGTGGCCATGAACATGCCACTGCACTCTAGCCTGAGAAACAGAGTGAGACTTCAACTCAAAAAAAAAAAAAAAAAAATAGTGAATGTTATGTTATGTGAATTATATCTCAAAACTGCTAAAAAAAAGTATTACACATTTTGTTTCTTTGTTTATTGAGTTGGAGTCTCACTCTTGTCACCCAGGCTAAAGTGTAGTAGCACACTCACAACTTCTGCAACCTCGATCTACTGGGCTACTGGTGTACAGACATACACCACCATGCCCGGCTACGAGTGTTCAATCTTTAAAAAATATTAGCCGGGCTCGGTGGCTCAGCCAGTAATCCCGTGCCTTTGGGAGGGTGAGGTGAGTGGATTGCCTGAGCCCGCGGGTTCGAGA